TGTGCCAAAGTCCTGGGTTATTCTCCCAAGGAAAAGAGATCATCAACGAGGAAGTAGCCTCTGCCATGATTATGAGTACAGCTTGGGTTCAAAAATCACTACAGATGTTATAGGTACATTACCTTTAATCAAGCCATCAAATCCTGTCCAAGCAACTCCGTGCTTTGTCTGTCTGGAAGATGAAAGGGATTTTAACAATACACACATTAGAATGTAGACTGACAGTCAGGGAAAAGAACTGTACTCAGGGTTCCAAAAGTTTATTTACAATAAGTAGGTGATTAAAGTGATGAATGCAGTACACGTGATGTTATGCTACAATCATTATAATTCAGCTGTAGCTTCAATGGAGTCGTAGCGTTCCATAAAAATATGCATGTCTACCTGATATGTAAAAAAAAAAAAATTGTAAAAAGATTGTCTTTGTAAAAAATACTTGGCAGACAGTAACAGCCATTACTAAATGTGCTCAGAGTTGACAAGTCTTCACCAACAGTAAGAAAGCTGGGTTAAAGCTATAAAGCTCTCATCACTGCACAGCATGTTCATGAAAGTACTGTTTGGGTTCAAAAATCACTTTACATTTTAGTCATTTAGCAGAAGCTCTTATCCAGAGCGACTTACAGTTAGTGACAGCATACATTTTTCATACTTCAGATGTTTAGTGCATTACCATGCATCGACTCCAATTGAACCATCAATCCAGCCCAAGATATCTCCATTATTCCTGTGGAGGATAGGAGAAAGTCAATGAGCCATAAATACAAGAACAGACAGTATGAGTCATTCAGGAAGAGTTGTGCTCAGGGTTCCGAAGGTTCTTCACTAGACAATAAGTAGGTGATTTAAGTCATCATCACTGCACAGTACATGTCTTTTAGCAATAATAACAATGCTGATCCATCCTCACCTTCAGTGGGGTTGTAAAGTAATATTTCAGTCAGTTTTCCCTGAAATGACAAAATAATCTAGTTAGGAATGATCAAAGTCCTTATAGCATACAAACAATGTAGCAGCCATAACGGCCATAACAAAATGTGCTCAGAGTTGTAAAGTCTTCACCAACAGTAAGAAAGCTGGGTTAAAGCTATAAAGCTCTCATCACTGCACAGCATGTTCATGAAAGTACTATTTGGGTTCAAAAATCACTTTTAGAGCGCATTACCTTGCATCGATTTTAGGCATCAAATCCAGTCCAAGCATCTCCATGCATTATGTCCATTAATCCTGTGGAGGACAGGAGAAAGCCTATGAGCAACGTATACATACGAGGACAGACCGTAAGAGTCATTCAAGAACACTTGTGCTCAGGGTTCCGAAGGTTCTTCACTAGACATTAAGTAGGTGATATAAAATAAAAACATCACAGCACAACATTTATGTATTTATTTATAGAACTGCACACCCAACCGCACCTTCAATGGAGCTGTAGCATAGCATTTCACAATCAGCACATTTTCATGACATGCAAAGAAACGATAAAATACTTTAAATACAGATATTACTCAAAATATGGCCCTTTCCCTTTTATAAGCAATTTAGACAGTAACAGCCATTATTGTGGCTGTTCAAAATGTGCTCAGAGTTTAAGTCTTCCACCAAGAGTAAGAAAGCTGGGTTAAAGCTATAAAGCAATGTACAGTACTTGTTCATGGAGTTCAGCTATAACTACTGATTCATCCTCACCTTCAAAACATATTGAAAAGAGTTGAGACTTCATTGAGACAAACAGAGCATGTTTTCCTGAAATGCAAAGAAAGGAAAGAATGCTTAGACCTTGCGCTATAAGAAGCCATATAAACCCAGTAATATGTTGACAACAAGCATTGAGAATTGGGCTCAGTGTTTAAAGGTTCTTCACCATACAATAAGAATGTGTTAAATAATCCCTGCACAGAACATCCTATTTACAAAGTTCTTATTTATTCACACCATCAACAGTTGGAATTAATTCAGCATGCTTTCCTGAAATGCAAAGGAAAGACTGAGGTAGATTAATTAGAATAGACATTCTCTAGTAACTACAGATGTGAATGTATTTAATTACATATGTGTTAGCCCTTCTACTAGGGCTGCCCCAGTGTGAGGGTATAGCCCACTCTCAGAAGGGCACAGCTCTGCTACAGCTCAGCATCAACAGCCACTAAAACAGTGTCTGCTGGACCAAGCCACAATAGCGGAGCCTTCCTCTCCCAGCAGTGTAACACTAACTCAGGCATGGGGCTGGCCTGTACAGCTGACTACCACTGGGTAACGAACTAGCTAGCCAATCATGAAACCCTTGTGAATTTTGTAAATCTAGAATGTGGGAAATCGCTACCTTGAAGTGGATCATGTTATTCCCTTGTAACTCAGTTGGTAGAGCATGGCGCTTGCAACGCCAGGGTTGTGGGTTCGTTTCCCACGGGGGGCCAGTATGAAAATGTATTCACTCACTAACTGTTAGTCGCTCCGGATAAGAGCGTCTGCTAAAATGACTAAAACGTTAAAAAAAATCCCACGTGCAGCCCTCCCATGTCTGATGACGTGTATGGTGGCACAACCTGTGTAGGTAAAACAAAGTATGCATCAGTTGTGACAAAACACTACTGTATGAAACAAATGGTAACCAATGACACTAGGTTTTACACAGCCTAGCCAACTAGGCCCAATTTTTGCGTGACACCACGTGTAATCTCGGCCTTACATGTGAAACTTGCCAGTCATCTACCTTTCCAACTTGCCTCTCCAAAACAGTCACTTGTAAAATGGCAGCCAGTGCAACATCAAACTGAACAAGTTAACATTAATCTTATATTTAAGTTAAATAACGTTAGTTAGCGTTTAGCCAGAGGAGTTTCGGTTTAGTTAGCAGCTAGTTACCAAGTCAGCATTCCTACCTTGCCTCTTCAGCAAGTTCCACACAGTTGTTTTATTTAGCTAGCTATACAATTAACATTAATGACTCCATTCCAATTCCAACTTTCATAACAGCAAAAAAGAGTCTTACCATAGACGACAAATGACCATGTCTCCTCTTTACTCACTCTGCAAAAGAAAGACCGAAATCCGCCCACTTGCAGATTTATAGTCCTGCTGGCACCATAGAATACAGTTCCGCTGTGAATTGTGGGATAGGTCTATACCTCCAAGAAATAAATGTAGGCAGCTGTGACCTTATGCCGCGTTCAAAAAAACGGGGAACTCGGAAATCTCCCACTACGACTCATCGGGAAGCATGCAGTTTATTGCCGCGTACAAGACAACTGGGACTCGGAAGTCTCCGACTTCAGTGTGTTCAAAACATCTGGGAGCACGGCGGAAAGAAACGAGCTCCGACTGGGAAAAATCGATTTGAAAGGTCATCCACCTCGGAGCTTCCGACTTTCCGACCTGAAGATCACTGACATGATTTGTTTTGAACGCGGCAATGCCCGAGTTGGATGATTGGATGTTGTGTTTCCATCAGGCCTGTTATGACGTTTTTTATCCGACTTACTTAAATCGCATAAAAACGTTGGATGGAAACGTGGTTAATGGCTGTGACAAATATATTTGGCTGTGACTGCACATCATGTGCCTCAGTCCCAGCAAAAGTACAGCCTATTGCCAATTCCTCATATCCAAAACCACTGTTGAAATTTAGAATTTTATTAGGAAAGACAGCATCTGTAATTGAGACCCCAAATATCATACCACTCTCAAATTCGACAAGAAATCCATGTCATACCAGACTGGTTATTTTCTCCTTTTCACAGACCACTGCTGCCAACTTCATCTGTCAGATAGGCAGCAGCTCAAACATCATACAACAGTTAAGGCAAAACAAAATCTCTATTTGTATGCATGGTAACTTCTAGTCAGATTCTCATTCTCTCTCAGTTTAGACCCATGACAAAGTCAAGGAGAATGAGTCAACTCGTGCTCCTCTGTACTGAAAGGAATACCAAAGTTTAAAGATTCAAAATGTCTAAGAACAGAAATAAAACCCTGCAGTTGTATTGTCATATCATACCACACATGCATGGCTTTACTCATATCACTATACATATGCATACTGTTTTCATGGAGCAGATATACCTTATTAACAGAAACAGGATGAAGCTAGAGAAAAGCCAAGTTTCTTCTTCTATTGCATTTCCACTGTAGTCCAGTCAGTTGAACAGACAGAAGCTGAACTACATGGAAAAATGAAACCCCAAATGGCATCACAATCGGACTAACACAATTGCTATACAGAGTTCACTACCTCACAACAGATGCAAATAAATGTTTCTTAAAATGGACAGGATATATAGTCTTTTACAATTAAATTACAAAGGGGTGGAGGAACATACAATGAGTATGGTTACATGCACACACTAATGCAATTATTGTGGATAGTCAAATTAATATAATAGTTTGATTAAACATTTACAAGCTTTGCCAGAAGAACGATTTCCCTAATAACCCTGTTTACATGGATACATGAAATCAGGCTACTGATGGCACTCAGAAAATCGGCAATCAAAATGTTCTACCACAGCGACCATGTTATTTTTGGGAAGCATATTTGATTCCGAATGCGGACATATAGGTTGTATGTGAAAACTACATCTAAGACACATACATTCAGTTGTTTCCGAACTCTCGCTCGCTCGGCTGGTGCTAGCACATGCGCAGATCAAATACACAACTGGAACGCCGATTACGAGTGTTTACATGTCCTAATGATTCAAAAGCTTGCTCAGAAAACCAGGTGTTTTAATCGGCGTATGCTTACTTAGATTTTGGCCGATGATCAGCAGAGTAAGGTGTTTACATGATTATTACATAATCTGCCTACTGCCATAATCAGTTTAATATCGAATTATTACTGTGCATGTAAACGTACTCAATGACATTATATAACGTATATTTTTTACTGCAAAAACACAGTATGTGAGAATGCCTAGAACTCAATAGCTGCCGCTCAGGACAACATGTCTACGCTCCCAAGCCCATCAGTCCATGTCTCCATGACAACCACAAGTGCAAAGGTTTTACTGCTGGCCTTCCTTCTTCTCTCCTGCTCCACCTTCTGACGATGACGATCCAGAGCTGCTGCCGCCACTGCTACCTTCCCTCTCTGATGCCATCTGAGACCAAATGGAGAACAGCTGGTTAATAAATATAACAGCAATATATCAATTGACCCATTGTGAAAGAATGTTGGGCTCTTGATTGACAGGCTAAGCAACCAATCCAGGCTGGTCATAATCCTTTACAAATGCAAGTGAAGAAAAAAAACAATTCGACAATGTTGGGGTGCTGAAATAATTACCTTCTTGTAAGCCATTTCGAAGAGTTTGAGTGACGCCTGCTGAAGGGTGGTGGCAGCCTGTTTGATGTTTTCGCCAGTCTCTTCATCCTTCCGTGACAGCAAGTCTCTCACTTTCACAATCTCTTCCTTCAGTTTGTTGCACTGAAAGATGGGGGAAGAAACTCAAAATACTAGGACTACTGGAATTTCCAGATATTTGGGATGTTTCAGAGGCATAGTTATGTACATTTTGCTGTTCAGTGTGTTTATTAGTAGTGTTATTATTATAAAAAGGTCCCACATACCTCATCAGCAGGGAGCTGATCCTTGAACTCCTCCATCTTGGATTCAGTGTCATGGACGATGCCCTCAGCCTGGTTAACAGCCTCAACACGGTCCTGGGCAAAAACAAACAGGACACCAAGGACAACTGTCAGCATTCAGTCACACAGTCATCAAAACACATCACAACTCCAGTTGGGGATGTAACTGATAAAAGTGAAACGGACAGCTGAAGAGGAGAAGAGAATGTCAAACCTACCTTTCGCCTCCGGTCCTCCTCTGCGTATTTCTCGGCGTTCCTAACCATGTTCTCAATGTCGTCCTTGCTGAGGCCACCGGAGGACTGGATAACAACTGGAGAAGTGAAGGAGAAGCAGTGTAAAGTAAAAAGACATTACTGAAGTCCTACTAACAGAAAGCATCCATTTCAAGGGCAGGTTGTTTGATGATCTTACTCTGCTGTTCACGGCCTGTGCCCTTGTCTTTGGCAGAGACGTGGACGATTCCATTGGCGTCAATGTCGAAGCAGACCTCGATCTGGGGTACTCCACGTGGGGCAGGGGGGATTCCAACCTGCATGAGAGAAACAACATCAGTAAGACATTGTTTACAGCAGATACACCAGAGACTTTAAAATATACCCTGTAAGTTTAGTTAGTATGAATCAGCCAGGACACTTACAAGAGTGAACTGTCCCAGGATCTTGTTGTCTGCTGCCATCTCTCTCTCCCCTTGGCACACCTTGATCTCCACCTGGGACTGGCCATCAGCTGCTGTTGAGAACACCTGAACACAAGGAGGAGGAATGCATCAGTATCACTGATGAGGTAAGACAATTAAGTATATACAATTCATTTAGGTTTCACCAGACAAACACATTTGGATTTTTGTCCCGCACCTGGCCCTTCTTGGTGGGAATGGTTGTGTTCCTGTTGATGAGTTTGGTGAACACCCCTCCGAGGGTCTCGATACCGAGAGACAGTGGTGTGACGTCCAGAAGGAGCACATCAGTAACGTCTCCAGCCAGCACGCCTCCCTGGATGGCAGCGCCAATGGCCACAGCCTCATCTGGGTTGACTGACTTGCTGGGAGCACGGCCAAACAGGTCCTGGACAGTCTGCTGGACCTGAGAGGAGACCGTAGAACGGAGGGTCAGAGAAGGGCAGAGCATGATGACGAGGTGGGATAGAACCAGGGAGATCGGCTCACCTTGGGCATACGGGACATGCCACCAACCAGCAGCACCTCTCCGATGTCCCCCTTGGAGACCTCGGCGTCCTGCATGGCCTTCTGGCAGGGGGCCACTGTCCTGCGGATCAGGTCAGACACGATGCCCTCAAACTGGGAGCGGGTCATCTTCATGTTCAAGTGCTTGGGGCCAGAGGCATCCATGGTCAGGTAGGGCAGGTTAATGTCAGTCTGTTGGAGAAAAAGGCTCCGTAAACATTTTTATATCAAGATTGAGAGGGAGGTAACATATACCTGTTTTACATATTGCACCATCCATCCATCCTTGAAATATCTTACATTTGGATGGTGGACATCCTTGCTCAGAGGCGTGATGCAGTGGAATTTGATGTTTGTTAGCCCTTCTACTAAGGCTGCCTCAATGTGAGGGTACAGCTGGGGGTTACATATCTTACAACACAAACCCTGGGGGTCAAGGGACTGTATACAATACAAGCACGTCATTTCTGTTGACCAAGGTGTTGTATACTCTAATCATTAGCCTGCCAATTAGGCAATGAAAGAAATGTCTGCTGTGGAATGAAACTCACCTGCAGGGATGATGACAGTTCACATTTGGCTTTCTCGGCTGCCTCCCTCACTCTCTGCAGAGCCATGCTGTCTTTGGTCAGGTCCACTCCAGACTGGAAGGAGAAACCAAAGGTTTGATGAAAAATGGCTGGCTTGAATGTGGCAGAGGTGCTTGGTCAGATAAAGGTGTCACAGTTCTTTACCCAGGATACTTCCCCCTCACCTCTCTCTTGAACTCCTTCACAATGTGGGTCAGTAGGTGCTGGTCAAAGTCCTCTCCACCCAAAAAGGTGTCTCCGTTGGTGGACTTCACCTCAAACACACCCTTCTGGATCTCCAGGACAGAGATGTCAAAGGTGCCACCTCCCAGGTCATACACTGCAATGCTGCAAGTCAGGGACAGGTGTGAAACATGAGCTAAAGGCATGGATACAAATAAGGTCACGGTCATTGCTTAGGTATCATAGAAGTTTCCAGCAGTTTGTAGGGTTGTTGTTATACTTACATTCTGTCCTGAGTCTTGTCCAGACCGTAGGCCAAAGCAGCAGCAGTGGGCTCATTGATGACTCGCAGCACGTTCAGCCCAGCAATCTGACCAGCATCCTTTGTGGCCTGTAAACAAAATGACCTACTCATTACACACACATCCAGTATTTTCCATTAGTGCCGGCTGTCGGCTAATCAGCCGGTTACAGACTCATTTTCAGCCTGCTAGGCTACTTTTAGTTAAAAAGTTTCAATTCGCTATTCCACCGAGCCCTCTCCTGCTAGAATGAACGATATGCATCTTCTAGCGATCTATTGATAGGGCAGGTGCCTGTCAGTCACAAAGCGAGCGATGCCAGGGAAGCACAGCAGAGAGGAAGAGGCGAAGCGAGAAGTTTCACTCTTGCCAAAATCTGTCCAAAATAAGCCCACTGCGTTTCTATGTCGATGTCTAGTTTATAAAAAGGTGTCGAACTGACTGAATAAAGTCTCCTATATCCCTTTGCCATTCATAAATCATGCAACGTGGTTATATGTCCATGGTATCGCATCGGGACAAGTAAACCAAAATATTTCCTAGGATGTCGGGGCTTGCCAGACAGTGATGCTAAAGTGAGTGACTCATCAGTCAGTGTAGCCTACCGAATTGCATCGGTTAGAGAGTTGTTCATTTGACTCCCTAATTTGCATAGGCTACTGGTAGGCTTATCTGCAGATAAATTATGAAAACATTTGATGAAGATCATGAATCATCACTGGTAGGTAGTGGAGAGACTAATTCTGGTCCAAATATGATCATTAGGACCCTCACAGAATCCAGGCATTAAAACGGAATTCAACAATATAATAAATAGTAGGACAACTAAATGTATTGAAAATGTATTACTTTGCCCAAGTTTATCATAAGATATGAACAGAATGCATCAGTGATTCGTATTTCCTGTAACTATCTGAAGAGGCAACGAGAATGCCCGTCCGTGTGTATGCAGTGCGTGAGTCTACCACTTTGTGCAGTCGTTAGCGATGATGCTAATGAAAACAGTCTTCTAGTAGATGGAGGCTTTCCCAAAAACATTGTCAATTAAATGTTAACTACAAAGTAGCCTATGCTTAATTGGCAGAATGATATCATGGTTATTTTCATCAATCCAGTGGGTATTTGTTTTGCTTAGGTATCTACCATCACATGTTCACTACAAAAACTCCACTAAACAGCCTCTTGCTAAGTGTGCACTTAAATTAAAGGGAAACTACACCCCAAAAATTATTTCAGTTTTTCCAGACCTCAAATAGTCTCTTGGATGTGGTTTAATTATTGTCATGGACTCAGAACAACCAAATGTGTTGTTTTTCTATTTTGAGAGCGAAAACAGGAAAAAACAAAAAAGTTGTATATATTTTTCAAGATAACATGGGCTATTTAATTCATTTCTGTTTTTATAAAATACATTTTGAAGAACAAACATTGTGGCAATTCATATCTTGCAGTAAAACTGCAGTAAAACCCCCTCTTCATATTGAGGCTGCGTTAAGATATTGACTCAGAGACGGACCAAGCCACGCTCAGGTAATACCTCACATCCTCTCTAAGCGTTATCGTCGTACTGTTGTCTATACTGCCAGGGGTGTTGTCAGTTGTAATCGTGTACCCATTCGTTTGAACACCACTCTTAGATCTGCTACTGTAACTCAAAAGAGAAGCCCACTGTGGTCTGCTCACCCAGTGCTTTTAGTGCAAATGTGAATTCCATAAACTTGAATACCCCGTCGCTTTTCAAATCAAATAGAGGGCTTGGGCTGTTGCACGATAGCAACCAAAACCCATGTAAGTCAGTTTATAACATTCCATCATTGGTTACTCTGAGAGACATTCTTAATTCTGATATTAATATTGAGGGTTATCACGTGTTCAGAGCTGACAGACAGGGTAGAGGTGGCGGAGTGGCTATTTTTATTAAAATGTATTTATCGGTCTCTATACTGAAATCAATTTTTCTTCCAAAACACTTGAGCTACTATCTTTAAGCCTTTGTCTGGGGGAAAAAGTATCCATAACTGTTATAGGGGTCTACCGTCCTCCCTCGGCTAACCTTTGTGCACTCGTGGAGTAAACTAGTTTGTCGACTTTTATTAAATCAGAAGTTATTATCCTGGGTGACCTAAATTATGGTTGGGAAATGCAGGCTTCAGACAATCTAAAAAACATGTGTAATGATCTAAACCTAACCCACCTGGTGACTAAGCCTACACGACCCATAGAGATCCTTCAAATTTTTAGAAATATAACACATGACCAAAAGTATGTGGACCTGCTCGTCGAACATCTCATCCCAAAATCATGGGCATTAATATGGAGTTGATCCCCCCCTTTTGCCGCTATAACAGTCTCCACTCTTCGGGGAAGGCTTTCTACTAGATGTTGGAACATAGCTGCAGGGACTTGCTTCCATTCAGTCAAGTTCTTCCACACCGATCGCGACAAATCATTTCAGTATGGACCTTACTTTGTGCACATGGGGGCATTGCCATGCTGAAACAGTAAAGGGCCTTCCTGAAACTTGGAAGCACAGAATCGTCTAGAATGTAATTGTATGCTGTAGCGTGAAGATTTCCCTTCACTGGAACTAAGGGGCCTAGCCCGAACCATGAAAAATAGCCCCAGACCATTATTCCTCCTCAACCAAACGTTACAGTTGGCACTACGCATTCGGGCAGGTAACGTTCTCCTGGCATCCACCAAACCCAGATTCGTCCGTCGGACTGCTAGATGGTGAAGCGTGATTCATCACTCCAGAGAACGCATTTCCACTGCTCCAGAGCCCAATGGCGGCGAGCTTTACACCACTCCAGCCGACGCTTGGCATTGCGCATGGTGATCTTAGGCTTGTGTGCGGCTGCTCGGCCATGGAAACCCATTTCATGAAGCTCCTAACGAACAGTTCTCGTGCTGATGTTGTTTCCAGAAGCAGTTTAGTGAACTCTGTGCTAAGAGTGTGCAAAGCTGTCATCAAGGCAAAGGGTGGCTACTTTGAAGAATCTAAAATATATTTTGATTTGTTTAACACTTTTTTTAGTTACTACATGATTCCATGTGTTATTTCATAGTTTTGATGTATTCACTATTATTCTACAATGTAGAAAATAGTAAAAATAAAGAAAAACCCTTGAATGAGTAGGTGTGTCCAAACTTTTGACTGATACTGTGTGCGCACACACACACACACACACATACACACACATACATATATATATATACACATATATATACACACACACACACACAGCTGTGGAAAAAATTAAGAGACCACTGCAAATTTCTCTTAAATCAGCATCTCTACATGTTTGACAGCCATTCCATTCCAGTGTCTGTTGAATTCCAACACAGGCACACCTCATTCTACTGAATTAGGTACTGATTAGGTGATCACCTGAACCAAATCTTATTTAAAATGAGGAAAAGTATAAAAACCACTGCTGTGGTCATCACTATCCTCTTGCAATAGGACCAGCTGGATGGTAAAAACAGTGCTAATAGTACCTCAAAAGTAATATTAATCAAAAAATAACTATTGACCATGCCAAAAGAGTTGAAAAGGAAAGTTTTGAGTGAGTAAAAGAAGGGTTCAATTCTGGCTTTACTGGCAGAGGGATACAGTGAGCATCAGGTTGCTTCCATCCTTAAAATTTCAAAGACGGCGGTTCATAAGAACATGGTCAAGCAGCAGACATTGGGGACAACAAAGCTACAGACCGGCAGAGGGTGAAAACGGGATGACCGCCAACTCATTCGAATGTCACTCAACAACCATAGGATGACATCGAGTGACCTACAAAAATAATTGCAAACGGCAGTTGGGGTGAAGTGCATGGCGAGGACGGTTCAAATCAGGCTCCTAGGGGCAGGGCTGAAGTCGTGTAAAGCTAGAAAAAAGCCCTTCATCAATGAGAAGCAAAGAAGAGCCAGGCTGAGGTTTGCAAAATACCATAAGGATTGGATCGTAGAGGACTGGAGTAAGGTCATCTTCTCTGATGAGTCCAATTTTCAGCTTTGCCCAACACCTGGTCGTCTAATGGTTAGACGGAGACCTGGAGAGGCCTACAAGCCACAGTGTCTTGCACCCACTGTGAAATTTGGTGGAAGATCGGTGATGATCTGGGGGTGCTTCAGCAAGGCTGGAATCGGGCAGATTTTTCTTTGTGAAGGACGCATGAATCAAGCCACGTACAAGGTTGTCCTGGAAGAAAACTTGCTTCCTTTTACTCTGACATTGTTCCCCAACTCTGAGGATTGTTTTTTTCCAGCAGGACAATGTGCCATGCCACACAGCCAGGTCAATCAAGGTGTGGATGGAGTACCACCACATCAAGCAGGGGCTCAAATACTTTTTTCCCCTCACTGTACACGCATATATATATATATATATATATATATATATATATATATATATATATATATATATATATATATATATATATATATATATATATATATATATATACACACACACACACACACACACACACTCAGTTGAAATCGGAAGTTTACATACACCTTAGCCAAATACATTTAAACTCCGTTTTTCACAATTCCTGACATTTAATACTAGTAAAAATTCCCTGTCTTATGTCAGTTAGGATCAACACTTTATTTTAAGAATGTGAAATGTCAGAATAATAGTAGAGAGAATGATTCATTTCAGCTTTTATTTATTTCATCACATTCCCAGTGGGTCAGAAGTTTACATACACTCAATTAGTATTTGGTAGCATTGCCTTTAAATTGTTTAACTTGGGTCAAACGGGTAGCCTTCCACAAGCTTCCCACAATAAGTTGGGTGAATTTTGGCCCATTCCTCCTGACAGAGCTGGTGTAACTGAGTCAGGTTTGTAGGCCTCCTTGCTCGCACACGCTTTTTCAGTTCTGCCCACAAATGTTCTATAGGATTGAGGTCAGGGCTTTGTAATGGCCACTCCAATACCTTGACTTTGTTGTCCTTAAGCCATTTTGCCACAACTTTGCTTGAACGTGGTACCTTCAGGCATTTGGAAATTGCTCCCAAGGATGAACCAGACTTGTGGAGGTCTCCCATTTTTCTCTGAGGTCTTGCCTGATTTCTTTAGATTTTCCCATGATGTCAAGCAAAGAGGCACTGAGTTTGAAGGTAGGCCATGAAATACATCCAAAGGTACACCTCCAATTGACTCAAATTATGTCAATTAGCCTATCAGAAGCTTCTAAAGCCATGACATCATTTTCTGGAATTTTCCAAGCTGTTTAAAGGCACAGTCAACTTAGTGTATGTAAACTTCTGATCCACTGGAATTGTGATACAGTGAATTAGAAGTGAAATAATCTGTCTGTAAACAAATTACTTGTGTCATGCACAAAGTAGATGTCCTAACCGACTTGCCAAAACTATAGTTTGTTAACAAGAAATTTGTGGAGTGGTTGAAAAACTAGTTTTAATGACTCCAACCTAAGTGTATATAAACTTCCGACTTCAACTGTATATTTAATGTGCATTTTATATTGTATTATACATAGCGCATTTGGAAAAGAGACCTAGGTCTCAATAGGTCTTCCCTGTCAAAATAAAGGTGAAATTAAAAATACTTTCTAGTAATTGTAAAGTCATGTCTTTCTATACTATACCACAACAAATGTTTCCAATCTGGGTTGTAAAGATCTTTTTTTAGAGCTGATCCGATTGGTCAAAAGCCCAATTAGTGAAGAAAAGATTAGAATCGGGCTGCCTGTGTAAACGCAGTCAGACACACAAATACACATGGCATGCACTGATAAAAGTTGAGATGCTTGCTAGAGCACCATTCTTTTAGTCAATGGCAAAGGCATAGCTAGTGACAAAGTGACTTTTGGCCACCAGTGTGTGCCAGTAATGAATGATTATGCAGACAAAGTTTAAGAAATAAAGTAAGGCTATTACCTGTCTCTGGGAGTCATTGAAGTAGGCTGGCACGGTGACCACAGCATTCTTCACATTGTGACCCATGTAGTTCTCTAAAACCAAGACAATGTTACAATGAGTGCATGTTTTTTAGCACACAGACAAGGGTAGTTGGAACCAGAGAATTGACATACCAGTTTTCCCTCTGGGGGCAATGAAGATTGATTAATAGGTAGGTTACCTGCTGTCTCCTTCATCTTCATCAGCACGAAGGCACCAGCCTGGCTGGGGGAGTAGAGTTTTCCATGGGCCTCGACCCAGGCATCACCATTGGAAGCACGGACAATCTTGTAGGGCACGTTCTTCCTGTGAAGCCACAATGAGAACCCTGTCATGAATTTATCTACACCTCAAAATAATTTCCAAATAATGATGCCTTACAATGGCCAGTAAGGTATATAAGAGATATATAGCAAAACACACTCACAGGTCCTTCTGAACCTCTGCGTCATCGTAACGACGACCGATGAGACGCTTGGTGGCATAGAGGGTGTTGTTAGGGTTGGTGACTGCCTGTCTTTTGGCTGGCATGCCAACCAGTCTCTCGCCGTCAGCTGTGAAGGCGACCACTGAAGGTGTTGTCCTTGCTCCCTCTGCATTCTCCAGTACCTGTCACAACAAACTATTCAGTAACACTCTAGAAAAAGGACTATAGAAAGATGATTTCAGAGAGGTTCTCTTCATCACACAGGTCAAACATTCGTAGTTAAATCAGTGCTGAAATGATAACCTGTACTTCTACATCCACATTGCTTGCTCAACTGCTGATGTAAAAAGTGCTTTATAAATAAATGTGATTGATAACATGCCAGAGAGTGACAACATTACCATCTCAAAACTTCAACTGACCTTTGCTTGTTTGCCCTCCATAACAGCCACACAGGAGTTTGTAGTACCCAGGTCAATCCCAATCACTGATCCTTTGATTGCCTCTGATCTGGAAAACAAAGTAAAGTCAATCAAGGTAAGCACAAATGGTCAGATGTTCTTGGGTGCTATATTGATTGTAAAAAGGGCATAATGAATACAATTTGATTGATTGATTGATTAATGCATTTAAATATTTATTTATTTATTTGGAAATAGAGGAAGAAACTTCCGTAACGAATACTCACGAATAGTCACGTCTGGCCATAGCTCTGAGAGCATCTTGCTGAAATCCATTCCAGCAAGCCTATGGGGGAAATATTGGTTAGCTACCATATCATGACTACTTATTAGTGAAATCTGTCCTAAACCCCTTTTCAACAAATAAATGCAAACAAACTGGTCTATTTTAAATTAACACAGGGCATTGACACACAATAATCAAAATGTGGTCTAAAACAGTGTCTATGAATGCATTTGTATTTATTAAGGATCCCCGTCAGCTGCTGCCAAGGCAGCAGCTACTCTTCCTGGGGTCCAGCAACATTAAGGCAGTTTAGATTGAAATAGCTACATAACTTGTCTAAAATGATGTTTGGTTATGACATTTGAACATCATGCCCTGGGACACCACACTGAAGGTCACAGATGTTATATCCTCGTGAGACAATAACGCACCCCTTTATAACAAGACCGGCAAATTGCATTAGCTTGTTAACATTACCTTACACAAAATAACAAAGGGCTTGAAACCCCCGTTTGAGTGAGTTGATACGGACTCACTGGGTGGCGATTTAAAACGCATTGAATTAACACGAGGTGGTTATGCAAACATCTATGTTAGATCAGTAGACGGTCTTGGAATTCAATGACTTCAAGCAGGTAGCTAGCTAGCCATCTACTTGTCCCGGCCTTAGTAAGCTCCCACTATAGTCGCTAATGTACATTACTTGGTATGTCTATTCAGACGAAGAACACATTATGTAGTTAAAGAAAACATCTAACCTAACTCTGGCTAGACGAAAAGTTAGCTAGCTGGCTACTGAAAGTTAACTAGTTAACTAACAGTACAACTAGTCACGCCATACCAGGCTAACGTTAGCTGGCTAGCTCTTCTTGATGGGAGCCTTCCATTAAGATAGTTAACATTAGCTAGCATATTCTCTGACAAACAGTTAGTTATCCGACATGACTATTGTTAACTAGTTTTCTTTTTTCGGAATGTCAGCTTTATCAATCAGACAGTAGTTAGCTAGTAGCCAAAGATCTTAACTTGCTACTGTAGCTGCGACATTTAGCTAACGTTGCTATAACTAGCCATTGCTGCTTGAATTAGTTATCCTTCATGTCCAATTATACCTATTGGAAACATTTAAACTAACATATTATTGGTCAACTGTCTAACAATTGTGGCTGATTTACCTTCTTTATCAAGGAGGACACACTTCTTGAGCAGTTTGGAGAGGGGAGAGACCTTGAAGCTGTTCTTGCAACACTCAACATTTTGACAATTCTGGTAGCAAGATAGCTGGCTTTAAAATGGAGCCCTAATGAAAATCCAAGTTCTTGACCTTATGTCGAATTTAAAGATTACCCAGCTGTCTGTATATCGTATTTATCTAGAAAGATACAATTCCCAAGATAAAACGAAGACTGTCTTTCTCCTGTCAGACCCGGTATGGTAGCACGACTACTCTTCACCCAACAACGTAGTTGCCTTGAAGCTACGGACTTCTCGAATTATCCAACACATGGGTCGCTCCATGCATTGTGAAACTGACCCTTTTTAGTAGCCTAAAGATTGCCTGAGTGAAATGATTTATTTTGAAATAAAAATACAAAGTTTTCCATGTATTATATTTAATTATCACAGACTAAATACTCACAGAACACCAGGAATTTATGTTTAGTGGGCAGTATGATTATTTTATATGATACATTCTGCTAAAACATAATCATGCTCAGACGCGGGCATCATACACCATTGGGCTTGTGAAGGTCATTTAGAAAAAGGGGTGAACATTTTCACGTGAATTACATCAGTGATGCCGGTGTCTGGTCTGATGAAACATCACTACATTTGGATAAAGTACCTACATTTTGAACGTTAATGAAAGTACATGACCATATCAAGGGATCAGCCGACATTTTGCATTTCTGCATATTACTACTCTGTTTGACTCTATTGGACTTTACATTACACTCTTATGTGTGTCACCCTTTACAACACAGCTCATCAACATGCATTAATGAAGGGCTGGCTATTTATTACCCCCTCTCTGATGTGGGCACAACTGGCAACATAAAACCCAACCGATGCCAGAGATGTAAAACCCTAACAAGAAAGCCTCATTGAACATTTTTCAAGTACTACGCCACAAGATGGTGCACAGGTCATGCTGTCTTCTTCTTCTTACATTTACATTTCGCAGAGGCTCTTATCCAGAGCGACTTACAGTTAGTGAGTGCATACATTTTCATACTGGTTCCCAGTGGGAATCGAACCCACAACCCTGGCGTTGCAAGCGCCATGCTCTACCAACTGAGCTACACGGGACTCTTCTTCTTCTTCTTCTTCTTCTTCTTCTTCTTCTTCTGTATTGGCGAATCGCACCCATTTAACAGGTGCATACACAGTCACCTACTGTATTGGTGATGTAACTTCGAAGTTCAATGCACTTTGTGATATAAAAAGGTGAAAAAAGGACAGGGAAAATGGAAGAAAAAATTGCCACACCAATCCTTTACCTATTAAAACCCCACCACCCCATTCCACTACTTGGCCCTATCTGATCCTATACCAGGCTAGCAGCCTGGGAGGACGAGACACTAGAGTTTAACACACCTAACTCTTCTGCAGTAAAATCTCACCAAAGTATTTCTCTGCAGCTGCCACCACATCTATTTTCTGTGATTTATGTTCCATTTCTGCAGTACAGTTGATAACCATGGCAATGAACGCTAAGAAGCCAATCTTACTGTAGCACGTTATTCATTTCGCTCTCTGTTGGCCTCGGCCTACTCACAGGGAGCCTCTTAGGATCCCTCTCCCTGGACCCATCCTCTTCTACTACTCTTTTCACTGCCTCAGCATACGATACCTTCTGTACTACTCTGACCCTGACCCTTTCTCTCACCGGACACTTCTGATCCCCAGCAACATGGGTACCCCTACAGTTAACACACACAGCTTTTCCCATGATACTACACATTCCTTTGTCCCATGCCCTCCTGCACACTTCTCACATCTCGGAATCTCCCTCCTACACACTGCTGCAACATGGCTAAAAGCTGGGCACCTTTAAAACGCTTAATGGGTTCGGGACAAAGCTCTCACGGGATAACTGGCATATCCTAACTTGACTTTGTCGGGTAAAGACTCTGCATTAAAACTCAACTTCTCTGTTTCACCACGCTCTTCACCGGGTCTGCGTCGCACCAAACGGCGGGCTTCGCGGACACCAGGAATCTTCAACTTCAGTTGATCCTCCTCAACACTTAATGCCACCCCAGTTGTGTGGTCCTCTTTCAGCACCAGTCTACTTTTGGCCTCACTCACCAACTACAATAATAAAATGTGAGATTGGCCTCTTCACAGGAGACAGTGACAGCAAAGAGACTGGATATAAGCTGTCAGTGCACTTCCATGTCAAATAGGCTACAATTGCTTTCTTACACGTCCATTCAATACATCCAATGGGAAATAACTTGTCTCTCTCAATCTTGTTCCTGATTAAATGCATTGGGTCCTTAGGGCAGAGGGAAAAATCTACTTTATTACTTTAGCTTTGCCTTTTAAAGATTTGAGGATTTTAAGATTCAAGCATTTATCAAATCAAATCCAATTGTATTTGTCACATGCGCTGAATACAACAGGTGTAGACCTTACCGTGAAATGCTTACTTACAAGCCCTTAACCAACAATGTAGTTCAAGAAATAGAGTTAAGAAAATATTTACTAAATAACGAGGCTATATACAGGGGGTACCGGTGCCGAGTCAATGTGCAGGGGTACAGGTTAGTCAAGGTAATTTGTACATGTAGGTAGGGGGGGGGGGGGGGGGGGTGAGTCAATGTAAATAGTCCGGGTGGCCATTTGATTAATTGTTCAGCAGTCTTATGGCTTGGGGGTAGAAGCTGTTAAGGAGCCTTTTGGACCTTGACTTGGCGCTCCGGTACCGCTTGCCATGCGGTATGAGAGAGAACATTCTATGACTTGGGTGACTGGAGTCTTTGACCATTTTTTGGGCCTTCCTCTGACACCGCATAGTATATAGGTCCTGGATGGCAGGAAGCTTGGCCCCAGTGATGTACAGGGCAGTACGCACTACCCTCTGTAGCGCCTTGCGGTCGGATGCCGAGCAGTTGCCATACCAGGCGGTGATGCAATCGGTCAGGATGCTCTCGATGGTGCAGCTGTAGAACTTCTTGAAGATCTGGGGACCCATGCCAAATCTTTCAGTCTCCTGAGGGGGAAAAGGTGTTGTCGTGCCCTTTTCACAGACTGTCTTGGTGTGTTTGCACCATGATAGTTTGTTGGTGATGTGGACACCAAGGAACTTGAAACTCTAGACCCGCTCCACTACAGCCCCGTCGATGTTAATGGGGGCCTGTTCGGCCCTCCTTTTCCTGGAGTCCACGATCAGCTCCTTTGTCTTGCTCACATTGAGGGAGAGGTTGTTGTCCTGGCACCACACTGCCAGGTCTCTGACCTCCTCTCTGTAGGCTGTCTCATCGTTGTCGGGGATCACGCCTACCACTGTTGTATCATCAGCAAACTTAATGATGGTGTTGGAGTCGTGCTTGGCCACCCAGTCGTGGGTGAACAGGGAGTCCAGGAGGGGACTAAGCACGCACCCCTAAGGGGCCCCAGTGTTGAGGATCAGTGTGGCAGATGTGTTGTTGCCTACCCTTATCACCTGGGGGCGGCCCATCAGGAAGTCCAGGATCTAGTTGCAGAGGGCGTTGTTTAGTCCCAGGGTCCTTAGCTTGGTGATGAGCTTTGTGGGCACTATGGTGTTGAATGCTGAGCTGTAGTCAATTAACAGCGTTCTCACATAGGTGTTCCTTTTGTCCAGGTGGGAAAGGGCAGTGTGGAGTGTGATTCAGATTGCGTCATCTGTGGATCTGTTGGGGCGGTATGCGAATTGGAGTGGGTCTAGGGTTTCCGGGATGATGGTGTTGATGTGAGTCATGACCAGCCTTTCAAAGCACTTCATGGCTACCGACGTGAGTGCTACAGGGCGGTAGTCATTTAGGCAGGTTACCTTCACTTTCTTGGGCACAGGGACTATGGTGATCTGTGTGAACATGTAGGTATTACAGACTCAGTCAGGGAGAGGTTGAAAATGTCAGTGAAGACACTTGCCAGTTGGTCCGCGCATGCTCTGAGTACACGTCCTGGTAATCCGTCTGGCCCCGCGGCCTTGTGAATGTTGACCTGTTTTATACTATGAGGACAAAAACAGTGCATGTTGGTTGGCCCTGTAGAACGTCAGCGAAAGGGGCGGAACCTGCACACTGACTGCTATAACTCAGACAAAACTTTGTCATCACAATCAGCATGAGATGATGAGACCTGTGAGACCAAATTAAGTTGTCCCTAATCACAGATCTAGAATCCCACTCCCATTGCCTACCCCCATTCTTAACCTTAACCCTAAAGTGGATGAAAAAAATCTCCCACCCAGTATCGGTGGTTTAGTTTAGAGGTATATTCCACCCTATTCTAGGGAGCTAGGGAAGTGACCGAGGTGTGTTGTGTGGACATGCTTGCTGAAGAGATGGTGTTATGTAGGCTAACACATGTAATAATCTCATAAAAGATACTATATAGTAAATGATACAGAACTTTTAACATCACAGTAAGATGATTGGGCTTTCCCACTAGATAATATTTGAAAAATGATTCCCCCATATAATGAGGGATTGAAACAAGGTGGTAATTCTCCCGAGTGGCGCAGTGGTCTAAGGCACTGCATCGCAGTGCTAGCTGTGCCACTAGAGATCCTGGTTCGTATCCAGGCTCTGTCGTAGCCGGCCGCAACCGGGAGACCCATGGGGTGGCGCACAATTGGCCCAGCGTCGTCCAGGGTAGGGGAGGGAATGGCCGGCAGGGATGTAGCTCAGTTGGTAGAGCATGGCGTTTGCAACGCTAGGGTTGTGGGTTCGATTCCCACGGGGGTATGAAAAATAATAATGTATGCACTCACTAACTGTAAGTCGCTCTGGATAAGAGCGTCTGCTAAATGACTAAAATGTAAAATGTAATTCAACAAAGTGATTTGGTCAACGAGGCCCACCTGTGGTCATGCCACTGTTAGATAAGGGCCTCTTCTCTCCTTTCAGAGAAAAATAAGTGACATGGTAAAGGCATATTACTCACTTTTTAAACATAATTATGAGTAGAGAAACATCTCATTTGTAGTTGTGTAATCTCGGAAACACAGAATTAAAATCGCACATAATTGTTACGTGCGTTTGTCCACTAGAGATTAATAGAT